GGAAGGGGTTCCGAAATGTGCTATGCTACAGACGGGTGAGGCTGTGAGATAAGGAATTGGTCCTGAGTAGCGGAAGGATCCATACAAGTACTGTAACACATGGGAAATGAGATAGGAACATGTTAGTAACACGGGGAACGTAGCTAGTACTCACCAGCAAGGATGGAAGGACAAGGACAGGACGGAGGAGGATGTTCCAAAGGCTAAAAGGATATGATGCGTGTGGTACACGATTGTTCCGCTGGGTTCCGCTTGGTTCCGCTTGGTTCCATGTAGTGGACAGCTCGGGGAAGATGCGGATGGATAGCTGGATGGTAGCAGAACGCACGGGAAAATGGTGGGAAGGCATGGGAATTATATGGGATACAGGCCTACAGTGGGGACGTTCCCACACTGGAACTTGGTATTTGGCACTCAATGCCCAGAACTCGGAACTCAGTACTCAGTGCCTGGAACTCGGTATTTGGCACTCAATGCCCAGAACTCAGAACTCGGTACTTGGTGCCCAGAACTCAGTATTTTGCACTCAATGCCCAGAACTCGGAACTCAGTACTCGGTGCCCAGAACTCAGTAGTTGGCACTCAATGCCCAGAACTCAGTGCCTGGAACTCGGTACTTGGTGATTTGTTCAATTCCTTGATAGATGTTACCCAGACGTCCATATTAGTTACCCGGAACTCGGTACTCGGTATTAGGTACTTGGTGATTTGTCTAATTTACGAAATGTTGTATTCAGGGTTTCATGTTTCTCATTTCAGTGGTCGATGATAGGTGTATGCACTCATACAGTGGGTATGTACTGGTGCCTACATCAGCACACTGATTAGTATGTTATCCAACTATCTCAGCCCACTGATGTTTATAACACTCATTCTTCTGGGCCCACCCGTCTATATGATATCAACCATCTCGGCCCACCCGTCTATATAATATACTACTACCTCGGCCCATACGTCTATATGATATGTATCTGGGCCCACTGGTATATGTGATATCCAACTACCTTGGCCCACCCATCTATATGATATCTAATGAATCGCTCTCTCAGCCCACCCCTTTATATGATAACAATTACCTCGGCCCACCTGTCTACATGATATACCCCCTGAGTCGGCCCACCCATCTACACAATATACTACTACCTCGGCTCACCCGTCTACATAATATACCCCCTACCTCAGCCCACCTGTCTATGTAATATACCCTACCTCAGCCCACCTGTCAATATGATATTGTTAGATACCGTGCTGGCTCAGGAAGCAGAGGGGTTGGGGCTTGGTCAGCTCTTGCGCTGTGCCCTTGGCCAAGTACGTGCCCTGAATTTGGAGCGGGTCCGACATTGTCCGATGGTAGGACGAGTGGACCGCTTAGGTCCACTTTGAGTGTCGGAGGGTAAGAGCTGCTAGCGGTGGACCGACTAGGAGTGGAGTGGAGAAGGTGGGGGATAGTGTAGAAGGTAGAGAGGAGCAGGGGGAATGCTGGATAGGAGCGGAGAGGAAAAGAGAAGACTTAGAGCGCAGCTCTAAGTCGGAGTGGAGGGTCGGAGGTGACAACAAGGTGAAACTTGTGTCCAGAGGAGGCAAGGTCCTATTGAGAATTCTCACAAGTAGTAACTGCAAGAAGACAAGTAATATTAAGACTGGGGAAAATATCTAAGTACAGGATATGTTATATACTTCTAAGTATGAGGCAGTGATCAGGATAACTATGTTGTAAAGCTATGTACCAAGGATATAATTTGTAAGTACTTACACAGGCAAAGACATAAGTCGGAGCGGATATCAATATGTATGCGTCGGATCAGCGATAGAGCGGTAAGAAGAATTACTGGTGATCCGGAAGTAAGGGTCTATGTACCGAAGGGGAAAGTATATATCTAAAAGGGGAAAGAGGTTCCAGTTGAATGGAGACATTATGGAAGGGGACTGGTCGGGTGGTCAAGCAGAAGCGTAGAAGCGGAATGCAGACTGTGATTGGACAGAGCGGAGGATGGATGGAGCGGAGGTGGTCGGAGAGCGGAGTGGATATTAATATTGGAGTGGTCGGATCAGGTATATGACAGATATATGATAAACTGCTCCCCCAGCCCACCTGTCTATATAATATACTACTACCTCGGCCCACCCGTCTATATAATAATACCACTACATTGGCCCACCTGTCTATATGATATATAATAAACTGCTCCTTTGGCCCACCTGTCTAGATAATAAGGTCACTACATCAGCCCACCCGTCTATATAATATACATGTCCATCCTACTCTACATATTGGATGACTTCCCATAGACAAAATAGTGCGGACTATCATATACCGGACTTTGAAAAACAATTTCCAAATTACCCAATAAGATATTCTATATGAAAAACCAAACCATAGGTCAATGGAATATCATGGATGATATCATATATCAGTATCAAGTGCTGCAAAACAAGATAGAGATGGAAGCAATTGATGAAGAAGAATCTGCACTCCTTGTTGCAGCTACTGTACTGGTGGGAACCGAGCTGACTCGACAAGAACGCATTGACAGACGTCAACCACAACAACAATACCTTTTCCATGCACAGCTCCTTCCAAATCCACAGATGAGTACCCTGTGGCAAGCTTTATTTGCAAGCCAGAATGATCGAGCCTTCATTACAACCATGGGCTTTGACATGGAAACATTCGCCTTCATACTAGCATCTGGCTTTGCAAAACATTGGTATCATACACCCATTCCTCGTGACGACATCAGTCAGTATGCCAATCCTCATGTCAAACATCGATCTCTTGATGCTGGAGGTGCCCTCGGCCTCATATTGTACTACCTAAACTCCACAATGCATCAAATTAGTCTGCAACAGATTTTCTCACTCATCCCGACAACACTTTCATGGTACCTTTCATTTGGCCTGTGCATACTCCTCCTCACTCTGTGCAACATGGCTAATGCCAAGATCTGTTGGTTGCATGGAGACGAGTTTGAGGAATGCAGCGCTCTTGTGGTGGTGCGTCATGCGTGACTTCAAGGGGCCTTTGGTAGCATAGATGGCTTGAAACTTCCTGTGCAAACATCAGACGACATTGATATCGAAAATGCCATGTTCAATGGCTGGTTGTCAGAGCATTTTATCAGTTTGGTTCTTGCATTTTCATCACAAGGTAAGCCTCGTTTATCTTTAAACAAACTTCTACTAATGACATGTATCTCAGGCATAATCATAGCAGCAAGGACAAATGCACCAGGGAGCTGGCACGACTCTCGCATTGCGAAGGAAATTTATGCCACCCTTCGAGATCACACTCCTGCAGGCTACTATATTGTGGCTGACACTGCCTTCCCCCATGGAAGCAACGACATTGATGGCCGCATCTGTGCACCTCTCAAACAGGGTCAAACTGTATGAGGCTCAGCAGCGGACATAGAGGAATGCATGGCATTCAATGATGAATTACTTTCATACCGACAGATGGCTGAATGGGGTATGTGAGGCCTCCAAGGTGTTACATGAAACCTCTCGGATGAGATCTGGCGGCGCTAAACCCGCAAGGGGTGTTCAAAGTGTGGCCTTTGGCGCTAGCCCAGCAAGGAGCTTGCCTGAGCTAAGTCTAAGTAAGGGTTGAGGCCCTTACTTGTGTAGAGTCAATTGGAGCTTCTTGAGGATACGATCCAAGAGATGGAGTTCAACTCAAGAGTATCATCTCAAGAGAAGATGGTTCTGTGTACAGAGGGAGTTCTCTTAGACAAGAGAAGTTCAGACCCAATGACAAGTATCAGATGAGAACCGAGTAGATTCAAGTTAGAGAATCTGTCTACAGTACAAGTGAGATATATATACATAAGGGTGATATACCGGTGGAGCGGTAAGGGTACAGGGTAAGCAGAGGCAATACCGAGTCAGTGGTAAGGGTCAAGGGTTGTGTGAGTCATAAGTAAAAAGGGGTAAGAAGTACTGGTTGAACAGTAAGGGTAAAGGGCATGGGGAATCCCCATCAATAAGGGAACCGAAACAGTGGATAGGGCATAGGGTTCGGGAGACGCCATGGCTTCTGTGATCTAGGGGAAGAAGCAAGAGCTTCTTGCATTTCAGAACAATGGGATCAAGAAAAGAGATGAAAATAGAATAGTTGTAACCATGGTCCAGGTCTAGACAAGTCTGAAGAATGAAATGATGTGTAACGCTCATGTTACTGTAACACAAGGCACATTTGGCTGTCTCTGTGTTCCACTTGATATATTGGACAAAGAGGCCCGGGGTGACCTTATTGAAACATGTGTGCATCTGCACAATCTGCGTGCAAAGAGGGTGGGCATCAACCAAATACGTACTGTGTATATGAATCATTGGCAGGCCACTGACAAAGTCATTGAGGTTTGGCGTGATTTTGAAAACATGCTATTCTCAGAGCAAAGGCAGAAGGACCGGGTCACTAGATTTCATGTAACATTAGAGTACCAGTGAATACTAACTACTGGCTTTGGAGAATGGAACAAAACAGGATGACTTGTGGGGATGCATGAACAAATTATGATGTGCAAAGGACTTGTAAAACTGTATTGAAGGAAACATGAAAACTTGAAGACTTGTATAGTCAAGTCAATTAAAAACTGAGAGAACATGAGGGATAGAATAAAAGTTAGTAGAATAAAAGAATGCATGATGAGGGGGCATCATCTAAATAGTTATTTAGCTTCCCTTCCGACAAATGATGGCCCTCCAACGTCTTCTTCAGCAGATGAGTCATGATCATATGGCAGAAATTCTTCATCTGTTAACCACCTGATCAACTGGCCTCCATCTGGGGAATGCTCATGCATCATGGAATTCCTTTTGGGAGGCGGGGAATGCATCTTCCTATGGCGCCGACCACCCAATCCCAATGTCTGAGACTGCAACATCTTGACATGCAGATCTGCCATGTCACAGGCACATTGAGAGTCGTACAGCTTGCTTCGCAAATCAAACGCTTGTGCATGAAGTGTGTCAATTCTGGCCTGTGCATCTCGCAGCTGCTAGGCCTGTGCCATCAGCTGAGTATTAGCAAGACTCCAATCTGCTTGTTCTTCGTCACGAGCTCGCTGTGTAGCAGGATCGAATGCCCCCGACAGACGAGTTAGCAACTCCACAGCAGCACCATGTGCATTGTGTCGCAGAGCTGGAGCTTCAGTATGTGTGGCCTTCGTAACAGCCACATGTTGTGGCTCATCTAGAGCCGAAGAGACAGAGCAAGTATTGTCATCATCACAGTTGTCATCAAACTCCATGTCGTTGAGATCACGTGTACCTGCACGTTCGTTGATGAGTGCATCAATTTGATGTGCACGGGTGACATCAGGAGGGCAAACACCATCTCCAGTGGGCTTGGTAGTCTTGATGAGCTGTGAAGAGCACAGTGAGAGGAGATTGAACAAGTAGAGGCTGGGATCTTACCTGTTTAAATTTCGTTTTGAGGGAACTGACTTTTCGGTCTGGACGTCCCCATTTTGTTGCCCACTCTGAGAACTTGGCATGTATGGCCTGCCAGCCTCGCTGGCCTAGTGGCAGTTCCTTTTCGACAAAGCCGAGAAGTGCCTTGGTGTCAGCAGTAGTATAATTGTTAGAGCCTGATGGGCGCCCGCACTTGACTCTGATGTCACTATCATCATCGGCCATGATTTCACGGGCACACTTGGTGGGTCGCACTCCCATTTTTCCTTGCCCTTGGCTTTGGTGGTGCGACGAGCCCCAGCTGTTTTTGAGGCAGCGGCATAGCCATGTGCCTCAGCAATGACCACTGGGTCAGTTAAGTCCAGATCAGCATCATTGGGAAGCGGACGGAGGACCGGATCAATGGTGTTATGGTTGAATTTATGCTGAGTGAGTTGTGAACCGCTTGCGACAGGGGAAGGTGAAGGGGGGTGCTGATGCTGGGTAGAGAATTTGGCTGGGGTGTTAAGGGCATACTGGGGCCATTGCACATTCAGTTAAACACATTGCTACATAAGTAGAACATACCTGATAACCCTGAGGGCAAGTTCCATCAGTCCTTGGAGTGAGTGACACAGTACCATTCAGCCCAGTGTGAACAAAAGGATCAGGCTGTGAGACGTGCAATGGATGTGCAACTGGCTGTGCGATCCCAGGGTGTGGTTGCCACATCCCAGTTCGGTCGTGACTGTATGCATTGCCAGCGCTATCATAGTGCAATTCAATAGTCATGAGTATAGAACTTCAATGAAGTGTAGTATCAGAGAGAGAAAGGACCCAGATCAACGAATGCTCACCTTGTGCTCCTCAAAAGGGTCTCCTTATATGCCAGGCGTCCGACGGCCATTGGTCACCATCATTGTGGACTTTCATGCCAAGCTACTGCAATGCAAAGGGCCCTGACATGGTTTCTGTCCAACGAGATGGTGTGTTAAGGTCGTGCTCAAGGGAGAGGTTACTCAAAGGGCTTTGGCTTCAGCTCGTGCACTGCGCCCCTTACCCGAGTACATGCCCTTTAATTTCCGGGGGACAGAGGGGAAGTCCAACGGAAGTCTGGGGAGTTCCGGAGGACTTAGTGTCAGTGGAGTTCGGCAGAACTCCGGAAGGTTTATGCAGGGATGGAGTAAGGCTACTATGGAAGTCTGGAGTAGAAACTGAACAGAGGTTAGACTACCCTAAGGTAGAGCTGGAGAAGTAGTCCTAAGGTTTAACCCCTAAGACTCGGAGGTGGACAAGAGATGAGACTCAAGTCCGGAGATTGCAGGGATGAGCAGAACTAAGATGATATTCGAACTGAGGAGTTCTGGAGTATTACAGGGGTTTATATACTGTAGGTATCATGTAAGTAAATCAGTCAGCAAAGGTAAGAGCTATGTACGAAGCATGTGGAAAGTCTATTACTAAGTGTAACGGATCAAAGCAGTGAAGTCGGAAATGAAGTAAGAATGGACGGATCAATAAGCATAGTGGAAAGGACATAACTGGTGACCGGAGCAATAGCTAATCTAAAAGGAGTTAGGGGTGAGTATGGAGATGAAGGCAGAGCGCCAGGCAGAATAGCAGGATGGAGAACCGGACTTTAATGGGGTAGATCCGGAATTCCAGATCTGGAGGTACAGGATATGACATGGTGCAAACACAGAAGGTAGGGTTGGAGAATGAAAATTTCTTGAGGGGACTTTCACATTGGACACCAGTTGTCTATCATAACATTAACATTGAAACATAAGGAGGCACTGCTGTCCCTGTGGCGAGCGCTAGTACTAGTGTCAGGCTCAGAGATTCAGCTCATCACAAAGTGTCCAAACCAGTTCCTATAGAGACAAGGTAAGTATGTGAAAGTATACAAGGGATCCGCGAAGTGCAGGAGCAGTAGTATCAAACAGTGCTGGACGACTGAGCCTGCGCAGATACCGCGGTAAGATTATGTCAGCGGATATCACTGGTGTGAGTGGTCCTAAAAAGGCAAAGTGTGGGTTTATTCTCATTAGAATAGTCTGTAGGGGGTACCCCCCCCCCCCCTTACAGATTTAAAGTTTATTGGGGGGGGCAAACCCTTGTTGAATTTCAAATGGTGACAAAATGACACCCAGCATCGCAGCACACCTTCCTAAAGCATGAAATTATATTCTATCCTGCATTATTTTTGTGTACGGGAAGTCATCCATTACCTGGATGGGCCCACCCGTATTCATCGGTAATAATATCCCTCCTGGCCCATCCGTTAACATTGAGGATATCTTCATCATCAGCCCATGGTCTGCTGGCCCGTGTTATACAGGATATTATGCATGTCAGTTGCCTCATATAATACAGAGTTTGTCACTGAAGGGGCTCTGTGTCCTGGGACTTGAGGTATGCGATGATGATTGCAATAGCTGCTGAGCTAATGAAGCTTCAATAGGAGTCAGCAACATGCTGGACAGCCTATAGTACCAGGTTGAAGTTAGTATTGCCATTGACACATATGAACACACTTACTATGATATACACAGTACTCATGCTCATGACTGTGCACAAGATACTGGGAAAAATTGCATCCCAGATCACCTGCAATTTCTGGCAGGCTAACTTCGGGGAAACCTCCCAGGGATTAGCCAGAGTTGCAACATATTGCATGTAAGTAGAAACAAAGACATGGCGCCACAGCCTGTGTTCAACACCATCTGGGAGATCATTGTTGCCAGGTTTCTTTGTGTGCTTGGCTTGATGAGCTGGGGGCTTGCCAGGCGAATCCTTGATGAGAGCCTGCACAATATAATGTGGTTGTATTAGTATTAGGTCGATAACTGACTTGAATGTTAAAAAAATAAGACAACACTTACTGAACTTGAAACTCGTTTTTTTCCCTTTGGGAGGGCTAGCAACTGTGGCCTCTCATTCAAGACCTTGGGTCTCATCTTTATCTGAGAGTCCTCCATCGAGGAGTTGGAGAGTATCTCCCTCTTTTGGTTCCCACGTGATGGGGACAGTGTGAGAAATCAACACATTTTCTGTCAGAACCAAGTTAGTGAATGAGCGAGTGCTGGCATTGGTCAGGGGGGGAAGGCAGCATGAACTTGTGCTATTTTTGAATATGCTGGGCTGGCTGGTGGTGGCCTTAGTGCTGGGCTTTGCATTTTTCAGGATGCTTGCTGCCCAATTGTTAATGCCAGCGGAAAAGTCCTTGCCATTGGGAGTCGAGTCACTGAGGAAAAGTAATATAAAGTTGTTTCATCAAGAGTGAGCTTAAGCATGATAAAGGGTAAGAAGAAAAGTGCTTACCTTTTTGAACTCGGCAGAATCTGTTTCTCATAAGAACACACCTCACAGTTGATCTTCTTATCTGCATCTGTGTTAGGTACTGTGCCAACTCAGGAAGCAGAGGGGTCGGGCTTGGCTTCAGCTCTTGTGCTGTGCCCTTAACCAAGTACGTGCCCCGAATTTGGAGTGGGTCCGACATTATCCGACGGTAGGACGAATGGTCTGCTTTGGTCCGCTTTGAGGGTCAGGGAGTAAGAGCTACCAGTGGTGGGCCGACTAGGAGCGGAGCAGAGAAGGCGGGGAGTGATGCGGAGAGTGGATAGGAGCAGGGGAATGTTGGTAGGGGTGGGAAAGGCGGAGGATAATGCAGAGGGGCAAAGGAGGATATTTGATAGGGGTGGAGTAATAAGGGAAGGACTTAGAGCACGGCTCTAAGTTGGAGTGGAGGGTCGGAGGGTTGGAGGTGACAACAAGTTGAGACTTGTGTCCAGAGGAGGCAAGGTCCTACTGAGAATTCTCACAAGAGGTAACTGCGAGAAAACAAGTAATATTAAGACTAAGGAAAATATCTAAGTACATGATATGTTATATACTACTATGTATGAGGCAGTGACCAGGATAACTATGTTGTAAAGCTATGTACCAAGGATATAATTTGTAAGTTCTTTACACAGGCGAAGACATAAGTCAGAGCGGATATCAATATGTACGCGTCGGATCAGTGATTGGGCGGTAATAGGAATTACCGGTGATCCGGAAGTAAGGGTCTATGTACCGAAGGGGAAAGTATATATCTAAAAGGGGAAAGAGATCCAGTTGAATGGAGAGGTTATGGAAGGGGACCGGTTGAGTGGTTGAGCAGAAGTGTAGGGCGGAATGTGGGCTTGTGATTGGATGGAGCGGAGGATGGATGGAGCAGAGGATGGATGGAGCAGAGGGGGTCGGAATGCAGAGCGGACATCAATATTGGAGCGGTCGGATCAGGTATATGACAATCTGCCAGATCTACATTTGCCTTCCCCTTCCCCTTCCCCCTTGCGAGGAATTGGCCTTGGCCTTGGTACTGAAGGTGCAACTCATCCATCCCTCATCTTGGCATCTGAAGGAGATGTGTCCTCAACAGCGGGAGGCGCCACAACAGCCTTCCTCTTGCTTGGGATTGGCTTTGGCTTCGATGGCACAGCCTGTGGTGTAGCATTGGTCACCACATCCTGGTCCACCTGCTTCTTCTCATATTTAGCAATGTGTTTGATGCTAGCTCTCTTGGTGTGTTCTTTTTCTTCTTTACTTAAATTGTATTTGCATGTTCGTTGGAACACCATGTGGCTGGAAGTTATTCATGGGCACACCTTGCATCAACCATGAACACATTGTGTTATGTGACTGGAAGTTATTCATGGGTGCACCTTGCATCAACCCTTAATGCATCATGTTATGTGGCTGGAAGTTATTCATGGGTGCACCTCACATCAACCCTGGGCAGATCATGTTACCATTGGCTACTTGTATGTACCTGCATGCATGATGTACTCCTGCGCCTTTACCAGGCCTTGTATAAAGTCAACTCGAATTTACACCTCCAAAGCCAGACTCATGGGCCCCATTCGAGTCTACAATACCATCAGCACTATCTTATGATGTGGGCCAATGGCAACCTTCATGTGCACAATATTGGCCACCCTCAACCTATGCTACCATGCCTAGTGATGGGCTGTATCTGCCATTTTTACAACAGGTTGGGGCGCACCACTCATATGCGATCCCAGCATCCATCTGAAGAATCCGAAGTCCCACCATCACACCATTCCTCCTCAAGTTCACAGCATTCCCAGTCATCCCGACCTGGCACCGGACATGCTGCAACAAGCTCAGCATGTGTGCATTCACACAGCCCAACTCAGACTAGCGTAGGCTATGAACAACTTGAAGCACCTGGGAGTTGTGACAATAAAATGGAGTTTGACTTGCCAGAGTCGGACGGACGTGGGTATGGCTTTCATGATGATGCTGCCAATGAGGCAGATATGGCTGGCTCAGATCAACGTCCTTCAAGTGGCACTAGTTCCATTGGCCAGGCAAGTCGAGATGGTAGTGTTCCTCTTCAAGTTCCTGGTGTTAGCAGAACATGTTATGGTTAAGCCTGGCTTAACCAACAGTGCACTTGATGGGGTTGATCCCATGTCCACTTCATGGAGCACTGAGACGGTGGAAGACTGAATGAAGGCTGTTCATCCAGAATGACTTGAATCTAGCATCAGACCAGATACTAGAGTTGTATATCACAAGTGAAGATCAAGTTAGAGAATACATGGTTCTAACTATTGGATATATATAGGTATCGTCCTATGAGTTCAGGGTAGGTTTGGGTAGCCAGAAAGCATCCCAACTAGGTAAGTGTCTATGTGAGTCATAAGAACTCACACATAAGAGTCACCGGTCAAATGGTAAGGGTCCAGGGTATAGTACCGGCACAGCGGTAGGTGTTCAGATCAGATAACGCTATCTGTCATGATAAGCGATAAGGCGATAAGTGATAGTCATTACTGGTGTATCGGTAGAGGCAATAAGGGAGAAGCATGCGGCTTCTAGACAAGAGCGGTACAACGCCAACATTGCAGGTAAGTGTTACTTCCTATCTACACTGTCTTTATATTCACACTGGGTCATAGGACTGAGCACCGAATCTCAAATGCTACTTGCAGACATGCAACATGAAGCTGTAGACAGCACGAGCGCAGGCACAGATGATGTTATGGGCACCATGGACAACGACTTTCAATGGGAATCGGTCCCCCATGACCTCAGAGATAACGACACATTTATGCTCGCTGTGTGAGACATTGTCGGTAGCCAGTAGGTGCTTTTTTCATTTGTGCAGCACTTATTCACAACTTCTGCAGGTGGCGTGTATACAAAGATAGCCATGGATGGCGGCAACGCCTCGTCCACCTTCACGCAAATTGGGCACCGATCATCAGCACACTCACTTCCGGGTACCTCAAGTGGAAGTATTCACCATCTTCCCCTTCAAGTGAACCTAGTCCTTATGATTTCTTGATTGATGTTATCAACATTTACACGCTTGACACTAGTGCTTATATTCACAGTGCATCCACCATTGAAACCCCTGCAGAAGCACTGGTCTTGAGCAGTTATCTGGGTGCTACTCCCCATTCTCCAACCATCGCCATTTCTTTGTCAAAACTTGAGCTTTACAGGCATCTGCGCCTGCGTAAACCTTCACTCAGTGTTGAGGCGTTCACCAAGGTACTTTGTGACCTGTATCATGTATGTATGTTTTACATTCTCCTTAGCGTTGTACTTGATATTGAGCTTAGTGGCCTTATCACCGGAGATATTGTACTGCGCTTGCTGATGCTTTCGACGTCTATCTCACAATCCACCACAACATTGATGTTCAAGTATTGAAGACCCTTGGACGTGATTCCGAAAGCTGGCGTGTGCTTAATGCATGTCCACCATGCACATATGAGGTATGTAATCAACGACACCATTACAAATATTAATATTCTAACGTAAATTCTTAGCTGAGGGATGAGCCAGAACTTGTCTTCCGACGAATGATAGTATTTGATGGGAATAACTTGCTGTCCCGTCTGGTGCCACTGGGAGGTTGTCAAGTCGGCGATACACACATATTCAACAGTGACTACTACCCCGAGCCTGACTACATCAACGCGCATGCATCACAATCCAACACACTGTCATCGGATGACGAGAACATCAACCCTACTTCTCAAATGCATGCTGGGCAGGACCCTGAACTTATGAACACGTCACCAGCTACGTCAGCATGCACGGACAACTGGAAAGCTGCTGCAGTGGATGCGAAGAAGAAGTCATGGGGAATATTCAAAGAGACGGGAATCTTCGCAAGCGCTTGCTGTCATGGTCTTGTACTTTGGATTGCTGATATGGTTCGCAGTGGGGAGCTGTATGTTGATGAATCTACCTGTTGTCTAAATACTCATGATCTGTGGATTCAGTTTCAAGTACCCACTTGCCATTGTTGGTAAAGCTCTTGAGACTCTCGGATCACATCTTTTGGTTGGATATGACGTGGGCTGCAAGCTTGCGATTACCATTGCCTCTAGCTCGCTAGCGCAGAAGTTTGATGATGCTGAATATTGTATGTGTGTTGACGCATTTTATGGGTACACCCACAGTTATGTGTGCCGAGACAAGAACCACCCAAATGTCATCAAGGGCATGGGAATCAAAGATCTTGCTACGATGGAGCACATTTTTAGCTCATCCAATCAACTTGGCCCTGTCACTCATTATGCCTTGGCATACAACCATTGTGTCTCCATAGACTCCTTTTTCAAACAGTGGGATGAAGACAAGTATCTCAACCTCAGTAATATGCTCTACAAGAACTATCTTCAAGTGTGTCAGATCATTGAAGAGCAGGGAACTGCTATCCGAGAAGCCAAGATTTTGCTCAGCATTTCAGATGACGATCTCAAGATGTGGTCTACAGAACAATCACAGTACCTCGCAACATCAGGTCAGGAGGCAGAGTGGGATGTTCATGCTGTTGTGTATGTTGAGCTGCTTCAGAAACTCAGGGAAGCAAGGTATGTATCACGTTATCCTAATCTTTTGTAATCTTATGACATGTTCAGAGCAACCTCAGAAACCGCTTCTGCAATGTTCCTGAACGCCACACCAATGAATTACAAGTTCATTATACCCACCAGCACTTCCTCCTCCTATTCTACGAACCTCTCCCAGACTCGAAGGCTGGAGACACGACACCGACAAGCTTCACAATGATATGACTCGATACTACAAGATGTTGTTGCACTTGAATTGAAGATGGGTGTAACCCAATGATGGGAACCAACTGATTGCGAGTACCTAGAGACCCTGAAGTATATGTCACAGCATGAATATCATCGTGCGCTTGACAATCTTCAACAGCTTGTAGTACTTCGGTTGTTCGAACTTCATAAACTCAATATTTCTCAAACAGGTATGAATTTCAATCTTCATGTATGACTTTACATACTCATTGTCATCGTTCCGAAGGTTATCGGATGTGCACTCATATCGCGAAGTCCTTGCAAACTCGTTGCAAGGCCATCCAAAATGCTGTCAAGTCCTATAATGCAGCTGCCCTTGCCCTTGAGCCACCAGTGCCTATGCTGGACTGGTCCAAAGTGTCGCACTATAATTTTCTTGAAGAGTTTGTTCTCTTGCGTGAGACATGCCAAGACATTCACAGCAGACGCTGGGCTGAACCGGCGGTGCATGAAGTTATGAAACAGAGCCTTCACATTGAGCGTGCACATAAAGAGATTCAGCATTGCCATGTGGAAAGTTGATGACTGCACACTGCTATCGTTGATGAGGAAGCACACTTCACCTGGGTCATTTTGGAGGCCAACAATGCTAGCAATCCAATATGTGGGGCACTTGAAGAATTTTGTCAATGCCGGCGGCACATCAATGCTCACGTACTCGCTCATTTACAGGACTTATATTCACTTGCCAGCTTCACTGGCTCCACAACACTGGGTATCAGGAAGAACGCTCCAGACGATGTCCAAGTCACTGTGGACTTGCAGGCATTGGTGAATTCAGAGCATCAGAGCGCTGAAGATGATGAGAATGATGATTGCGCAGGACTCAAGGAGGATGATGCTATTGTTGGTGAAGTCGGTGGTCTACTCAACTACATATCTGAATTACCACAGCAATTTGAATGCTTCATACTTTCTTTGCACAATGCATAATGATTAATGGAGTCACGATAATATTATGACGTTGAAAACAACAAACAGTGTGACTTGAGTTCATTATATATATACTCCAGGATCATCCTACAGAGCAAGAGAAATATGTAAGACTCGAGGGAACACACCAGACAGTAGATGTAGTGTATTTGATTCAATAATTCAGTCTGCGGTGCACTTCGGATTCAGTAATTATTGTTGTATGTAGTCGTATGCCCGATCTCCAACCGTTGCCACCAATCATCACTTAATCAGTTGCGATCATTGCAACTACTACACTACTCTCTTTCACTCAACTATGTCTTTGTCAATGGCGCTAGTAGCTGTCCTTGGTGGCCCATCCCCTGGTATAAAGGAATCCTGGTGAGTTCCTGTTAAATCAATCATTCTCTGATCATTCTCTGAATCTCATTGATTGGTTCGAAAGGCCATTCATCGCATCCAGACACAACACATCTCCCTTTCCGCTAGCTATTCAGTGCCACTCACAGGATCAAGCAGAGAAAATCTTGAGACTGCAGAACTCTACCATCAAGTTCATCGAGAGGAATTCACCCAGTGCTATCTTCACAACCTTGGCTACATTGAAGGGCATTGCAGGCATTTTTCCCAATCATGAGGGGTTTTACAGTGTTGTGTATGGACAGAAAGTCAGTATATTTCTGGATAGGTATGTAATATCACAACTATGATACTCATGCACTGCTGCACCATACTCATGCTCTGAATGTTACAGGTCAATGGCTATTGCACAGGTCAACGGCCTTGAAATCAGGAAGTTCCATAAATTCAACACGCTAATTGAAGCTCTCTGCTTCATGATATTCAAGGGGATGGACAATCCTGCCAGTGATGACAATGAATCTCAGCCGACTGCAGCTTATTTGACTCGCCACACTGAGGCTTTTGTGATGATGTGCTGACCATCCACATCTCAAAGGCAGCACAGGGTACCTCAATCTACGGGTATGTTATTTTTCATTCCACTGACTCGCTCTGATTGTTTCACAAGGGTTACAACAACTTTCAACTCAATTTGAGCAGCTTCAAGTGCAATCCGCCTCTCAGTCTATTGACAGCTCATTGCAGCCCATCATCCGCCACTATAACAGGTCGCTTTCTGGCATCACAGGGATGGTTTTCATTGGAGAATCCGATATTGTCGACTTAGACTCACCTCCCACTGGTGCCCTTGGTCCTCCAGCCGAAAAATATCTCTTTGCACATGGCTACCAAGCTTCAGCTATCTGGAGCATCATTCATGCTTTTAGGGAAGAATATTCTATTCAAGATTTTACTAACTACATCTGCGCTAGAGGAATGCCTCTGTTGGAGGCTGAATATCTTTTTGAGTTGATTTCAGGATGTGACATCTATCTGGATGACGGCGGCATCATCTAGATGAGATTACCAATGTTTTATCGTGGCTTTAACATCATTTACAATGCCTATAGTACTCTAACAAGTTTTGTTTGCTTGCATTCCCACGCTCATCTGTGTTGTCCTCCTGCTCGTGCTGTTGTGATTTTCAATAATGCCAGACATTGCTCAACACCAGCATTACATCAAGGTCATCAAGTCTAGTTCACGGACACCGTGGCACCATCACATCAAATGCAAAGCGCATCTCTGCACACAAGCTGAGAAGAAGGCGCTCGCTGAGAAATGCAGGGCTCATAAATGCGCATATAAGGATGCCCTTGCGGATTCTCAGGATATGGTCATGCAAGAGGCTGTCAAATTACATGAAGAATTTCCTCACAGGACAGTTGAATATCAATTCGAAGCAATTTTACAACAGTTGCACACCAAGCAGAAGAGCCGAAAAGCAACCAATTGGAATGCATTTCTTCGTTCTGAGGTCAAGGCGATGAACGCAGGTCAGTCATGTTTTAAAACACATCGCTCAAATTTTCTGACATGTTTTATACAGCGCGAGCACCCAATGAACCTCGTGTCAAGGCTACCCAGGCTGGGCATGATATTGCTGCAAAATGGAATGCTATGTCACAGCAAGAGAAAGGCCTCATGGAAGACTTAGAAGATCATCACAACAATAAGGCTTTAGCAAGTCACAATGTCCCCATCAATGCCTTCCACGATATTTGCACTACATTGGATTCCGTAACACAAACGGTATGTAGAAGCGGCAATTTTTGACATGCACTCATATTGTATACAGCTCACTACTCTCTCTGCCAGGACTGGGTGTCATACTGCCCTCATCACTGTTCAAGGTGACCTGGACCATTATAACCGCCCTTATGTCTACCTTTCGGATGATCATGTTGGGGACTTCTTCCAGCTTGCTCTCAAATAGACACCCTCCAACTTCACAACACTTCTCGAAGGTTACTGTACATCTGGCATCACCGGTATGAATTTATTTATTTATTAACCTCATGTTTTGATTCACGGCTCTATAGGTGTTATTTCTAACTACAAGCAGAGTTTCCTTCAACTCAAGAGCAAGACATCAGTGCTTATCCTGGAAAAGCTCCATGAGGTGGCTCAGGTACCTGTCTCCAGGATGTACTATGTCAACTTCAACAAGAACATTACCGCGCAACATGGAGTGGTTCTTGAAAACTGGCCACCAAAAAAATTCACAAGTCCTGGGGACATCGGCTCAATGGTAGAGGTCAAGACTGTGTACAATGCATTTATGACAGGCACGACAAAATTTCGCAAGTTTACAGCTGCCAAGTGGCAAGATTGGGAAGAGACCAGATTCAACATAACCTTGGAGTGCAGTGCAGAAGATGATACAGACGAAGGCGTGAATGCACCAGCAGATGAGGGCAGGAATGCACTGGTAGATGAAGGTGGGATTAACAGTATGTGTTTTATCCTCGTGTCATGACATTGGGTGATGCTGACAATGACATTTTCTAGTGAACATTGATCCATTCCTCTTGTCTATCTCACAGCCAATGAACACTGAGTCCCAGTCTGTACCTACAACAAGAGAGTCTGCGCCTATCCGAAGGAAATGAGGCCATGAGCAAGTAGAAGGTGGTTTTGGGCATGTCATTTCGGGTATTTCGGGCATGGGAGGGGATGAGGTATCTGTCACTAAGAAATCCCACAAGACACGCTTTGATAAAGGGAAAAAGCGAGGACCGAAACAGCATGCTAATCAGTCCGGACAGGCTGCTTCAAGTTGAAAATCCTGGTATTACATTTCCTAGTAGTAATAACACTGCAGCAATACATTTAATATGAGTCTTGCATCGAGGACATTAGATAGAAGGAACACGATGGCCTCAGCACTCAAGCTTGAGAGTCTGCTGAGAAACAGATGTATTTAACACACCCAATGCAAAACTATGCAAGTACAAACTGATGAGCATCTAATAGTTCTATCATAACACATGTAAGGCTTACTCAAATCTTGTGCAATCCTTAGTGCCCATAACATCATCTACGCCTGCGCTTGTGCTGTGACCTGTCTACAGCTTCACATTGCATGTCTGCAAGTAGTGTTTGAGATTCGGTACTCAGCCCTATAACCCAGTGTGAATATATAGACAGTGTAGATAGGAAGTAACACTTACCTGCAATATTGTCATTGTACCGCTGTGGGTACAACAAGTGCAGTGGAGAGAAATCGATCTACTACACAGTTGGGTCTTTGCTGCCTGCTGCCTCGCTTGGGAACAAGTGCGTTCGACCCTTAAGGGGATTGCTACTGGGACCCTACAGGATGAAAGATCCGCAAAAGCGGATGAAGCAGATAGGATGCGAAACGTACGGATTCGTTGGATGGAGCGGATGGCACTTGCGGATCGGACAGGATGTGAATCAAAGTTGAAGGAAGTTCATTAAAGGTTAGATGGATAGTGAGTATAAGTCAAAGCGATCTTCTGGTAGGGTGCAGGAAAAGTGGGAGAAAGTTACATGAAGTAAGTATTTTTCAAAACCCTCCATGCTTATAGGGTACAGTATTTTCAAGGAACATAGATATATAGGTAGTGAGTCTAGACCGTGCCATAAGCTATCCGAAAAATACTGGAGTGTGAGAGGATATGTCTGTGTTCAGTCAGTAACAAGAAAATGCGTGTGAGTACGTACCAATGAGGTAGAATGGATGTGGACAGGACGGATGCGGTGGATGCGCGAGCTATAGGAGGAGATCCGAAGGTATCCGCATGTTATCCGAAAAGCGGATGTGTATCGGATGGAATGGATAGGTGTCGGATGGATGTCAGATGGATGCCTGATGCATCAGAAAAGTGGTGGATACGAGCCTAGCGTAGGGATACTCCCTACACCGGAAGTAATGGTCTAAGTACTGAAAAGGAAAGCATATATCTAAAAGGGGAAAGAGGTCCAGTTGAATGGAGATGCTATGGAAGGGGACCAGTTGAGCGGTTGAGCGGAGTGGATGCGAATGATGATCGGGCGGAGCGGATGATGAATGGAGCGGATAGGGTCAGAAAGCAGGGCGGATATCAGTATCGGGGCGGTCGGATCTGGTATATGACAGTTACCTACATGATACCTACAGTATATAAGCTCCTGTAATACTCCGGAACTCCTTAGTTCAAATATCATCTCAGTTCTGCTCATTCCTGCATCTCCAGACTTGAGTCTCACCTCTTGTCCACCTCCGAGTCTTAGGGGTTGAACCTTAGGACTAAATCTCCGGCTCTACCTTAGGGTAGTCTAACCTCTGTTCTTTTTCTACTCTGGACGTGTCCGCAGTAGTGTTAAGGTTGTTCTCAGGGGTAAAGTGGAGTTTGAGGGGCTTGGCTTCAGCTCATATGCTGCACCCCTTACCTGAGTACGTGCCCCTAATTTTGGATTGTAGTCCGACAGGAGTTCTACGAGCCCCAACAGGACGTCGGAGCAGAGGTCCTCTGAAGGAGGACTGATGGACTACTAGATGAGCGTGGGAACATCGGGCAGGGGTTGTTCTGCCCAACAGGAGGGAGGCAGGAGACTACTGTGGTCGGAACCAACAGTGGAAGTGGAGTGGAAGTGTTAAGACCGTGCTCAATGGGGTAAAGTGGAGTCTGAGGGGCTTGGCTTCAGCTCATACGCTGCGCCCCTTACCTGAGTACATGCCCCTAATTTCGGGGTGTAGTCCAACATGAATCTATGGGTTCTGACAGGACATCGGAATGGGGGTCCTCTGAAGGAGGACCGATGGACTACTAGGTGAGTGCAGGAAAGTTGGGTGGGGGTTGTTCCACCCGACAGGAGGGAATGGGAGACTACTGTGGTCAGAACCAACAGTAGAAGCGGAGCGGAAGGAACTGCTTGGGTGAAGTCCGAAGCAGAGCGGAATGGGGGGGACGGATGCAAGAGTGTGGGGTCTAGTTCCGATGCACAGGAAGTCAGGTGAGCAGAAGGACAGAGGAACGGGGGAATGGGGGAGCGGAGGATCAGAGGATGGCCAACCTAGGGAGTCAATACCCTAGGCCGGCTTAACAGGAGTTGACTAGGATCAGGCCCAAGTCAAAGAACAGAAGAGCAGGGCTTAGAAAAGGTAATATTCAGACCGAGTATCTACAGACAAGTGTACATATGTTTATATACTCTAAGTGATGAGCATAGCATAGCAGAAGGCTATGTGCTGAGTATACAGGATTATAATAGGATGACTGAGACATACAAGAATAAGGCTCAGGGAACAGTATGTATGCGACAGATCAGAATCGCTAGGGTATAGGGATTACTGGTGATCCGAAAAGCGGAACTATGATACTAAATGGGGATAGGACCAGTTGAGTGGTTCCTAGTCTAGGAGTGGACTGGTGAGGTGGTCAGACGGACTAATAGTCAGGTGGGGGAATACGAGCAGAACTGAAGGATCCGTGCAGGTCGGAAAAGCGGAGGGAGTAGGAATAGGATCGGGCGGACTGATAGGGCAGAGGAACGGAACCTCAGATAGGGTCAGATGGAAGGGGTATGGGGTCGGAGGACATAGGGGTAGTGTCGGAAGAGTGGAATGGGGTCGGGCAGAGGTAGCAGGGCTAATCCTGCTGAGATGCACTTCGTGCATTGTTGGAGAAGGAGGAATGGAGTGAACAGGGAAACAGGGGGTCGGACCAGGGGTGGGGTTGTTCACAGGTGGTATTGGAGGTGCTCGGATCTGGTATATGACAAGTAGCCTTACTCCATTCCCTCATAGTCTTCTGGAGTTCCACCGAACTCCCCTAGTGTCTGACCTCTGGACTTCCCGGACTTCCATTGGACTTCCCTTCTGCCCCTCGGAAATTAAGGGCATGTACTCGGGTAAGGGGCGCAGCACACGACCTGAAGCCAAAGCCCTTTGAGTAACCTCCCCCTTGAGCATGACCTTAACAAAAGCTATGTACCAAGGATATAATTTGTAAGTACTTACACAGGCGAAGACATAAGTCAGAGCAGATATCAATGTGTATGCGTCAGATCAGTGATCGAGCGGTAAGAGGAATTACCGGTGATCCAGAGGTAAGGGTCTATGTACTGAAGGGGAAAGTATATATCTAAAAGGGGAAAGAGGTTCCAGTTGAATGGAGACATTATAGAAGGGAACCGGTTGGGTGGTCAAGTGCAAGTGTAGGAGCGGAATGCGAACTGTGATTGGAACTGAGTGGAGGGGGTTGGAAAGTGGAGCGGATATTAATATCAGAGCGGTCGGATCAGGTATATGACAAGGACACCGATCAGCATCGTCATAGTATTCCCTTCATCTGCCGACCACGCACAATATGCACCTGATCATTCCTGCTCTATCTGACTCATTGCCGATTGAACCCGCACTCATATATACCCAAGCCGCACGTGGTGTGAGTCAGCCGATCAACATACACTCGCGACATTGGTTGGTTGTGTGCGTATTCTGCCTTTCTAGCTCACAGATCCTTGGACGAACCCCATATCCATCCATCCTTGTTCACTGGTGCATAGTACACTTCTCCTTGGTATATTTGACAATTACAGTACTCTTACCTCCCAAACTCCCCTATTACGTCGCCTTAAGTGGCTCAGACCGACTTACTTCCCAATATCCCCATACATACCACGGGAAGTCAACCGCATGTCCCACACATATCTCTAGCAAACCATGAGGTAGCCTGGACATTCCAAGCGATGGTTATCTCCATTACTCACCTTGTAGCCGATTTGTACTTAAGTAGTGCACGCCTGTTGTTGAAATGCAGTTAATTCTCACTCAGAAGCCGTGTCTTTTGTGTCCTGTTCTTTTCCGATTCTGCTCCTGTGTCTGTCCGCACATTTTCCTTAGTCTTCTGTTTATCATTGACCATCTCGATCGGCCACATTTGCTTGCAACTGCATAGTGGTCGGTAGGAATTATAGTCAATTGGCTTTACAACTAATTGTTCCCTCTGAGCATATATTGGATCGGTCACTCTTTGACTTGTTGTCGCACCCCTCGTATTTATACTGAGGCCCAGGTCAAACTGAACACTACAGGCTCACTACTCGAATCCGCCGCTATTGCGCTGAGGTCATAGTAGTATTTGCTCCTTACACCAGTTGTACACCTTTCCACTTTGCTTACTCATCCATCTGTTTGCACTTCATTTCTGACCTCATTTCCTTGATCTGTTGTTGTCATATACCTGATCTGACCACTCTAATATCGATATCTGCTCCACTTTCCGACCACCTCCGCTCCATCCATCCTCCGCTCCATCCAATCACAGTCCACATTCTGCTTCTACGCTTCCGCCCGACCGCTCAACCGGTCCCCTTCCATAATGTCTCCATTCAACTGGAACCTCTTTCCCCTTTTAGATATATACTTTCCCCTTCGGTACATAGACCCTTACTTCCAGATCACTGGTAATTCCTTTTACCACTCAATCACTGATTCGACGAGTACATATTGATATTTGCTCCAACTTATGTCTTCACCTGTGTAAGTACTTACAAATTATATCCTTGGTACATAGCTTTACAACATAGTTATCCTGATCACTGCCTCATACATAGAAGTATATAACATATCATGTACTTAGATATTTTCCTGAGTCTTAAT